AGAGAGAGAGAGAGAGAGAGACAGAGAGAGAGAGAGACAGACAGCGAGAAATCACCCCCTGGGGGGGATGGCCACTCCACAATCTCTTCTCCTCCATTCCCCTCTTGGGATCTTGGGCACGCACGCACATGCGCCCTGCGTGAGTTTAAGCCACCAAGTCTGGACTTGAACCGTGGTCAGCTACATGGGAGTTCAGTGACATAGCCATTGCACTAACTGCAGGTCCCCCAACACTGACTTTATTATAGAACTGAAAGAATGATGGGTTGGGTGGTATCTGTCTCAGGATTTCTTCACTGCTGTTGATCAAATCTCTATATTCATGTCTCTAATAACACCTTTCACATTCTCAGAAAGATTTCACATGAGAAGACCTATTGTCCAGAACCTAGGAAAGTGAATAATCCTGATATGTATTTTTCAGAACTAGAAGTATCATTTTTTTTTCCATGGATAAGATGTTATGTTTCCTAGCACAGTAGGGATGCTGAATTTCAATGTATCTAAAGTATTTTCTTAGAAGACACAAAATACAGAATGTCATATCTGGTGGCATTAATATTTTTAAATCATTCTCAATCTGTGTGTGTGTGTGTGTGTGTGTGTGTGTGTGTGGGTATGTGTGTGTGTAGCCAATATTTTAGGAGGTAATTTGATGACATACATTTTAAATATTTCTAAAGAAAGCCAATTACACTTTTTTGTAGCTAAAGGACATTGAAATTATTGAAAGAATTTAAGAATAAGTGTCATCTTGAAATATTACCAGAATCAGGTTTCTAAAAGGATGCAAATGCTGAACTATCACACATGGCCATGAAACTGTAATAGAAAAGCTTAACTTTCCACTGTTGCAGAACAGGTGGAAAGCTGCAGGCTAAAGCAGGGTGAAAAGAAGGTACAGTTAAGACTCCATAGGTGTGGAATACAGCCTTCCTTAGAGGGAAAAACTCTCCATCATTTGTTTGAGTGTACTTTATAATTATTTTAAGAGACATGGGCTTGGTATTCAGTAGCAAACATTAAAACAGTACATGATTTTAAAAGAGTAAAAGAATATAGGAGCCCCCCTCTCTCCATAGTTTTGGTGTCAATGAAGGTCTGATATATTTTGTTTGTGTGAGAAAGAAAGAAGGCACATACATACAGCTTTGATTATAAGGTATTGCTATAATTATTTCATTTTGTTAATCTCATACCATTCATAATTTAGAAAACAAACCATATCATAAGTGTGCATAAGTATAGGAAAAACAAGGCATATAGGATTTGGTATTATCTGTGGTTTCTGATACCAGTGAGGTTATTGGGGAGTATGCTCTGTAGATAAAGGGAGACCATGGTACAATTAGAGCAGAAAGAAACATACACAGACAAAACGAAAATAGTTAAGTAAGCAAGTTATAAAGAAAAGGAACAAAACTATTTATCAGGAAATAAAGAGGGAGGAGTCCTTGAATTTAAAGTTTCTAATTCTCAGGGCCGGCCGGTGGTGTGGTGGTTAGGGGTACTTGACTCTCATATGGCTGACCACAGTTCGAGTCCAGGTCCTGGCAGCTTGCTTTCTCACCTCCTCTCTCTCTCTCTGCCACTCTCTCCCTCTCTGGTCAAATTAAAATAAGTAAATCAAGTTAAATAAAATAATTCTCTAGAAAATAAATAAGTAAGGGAACCAGCAGTTAGCGTAATGGGTATGTCGCTGGACTCCCACATAGTCAACCGCGGTTTGCATCCCGGACCTGGTGGCTTAGAACTCACGCTGGGTGCGTGTGCATGTGTGCCCAAGATCTCGGGAGGAGAATGGAGGAGAAGGGATTGTGGCGTGACCATCCCCCCTGGGGAGTGATTTCTCACTTTCTGTCTGTCTGGCGAGCACATGCGCTCTATAGCGAAAACCTCTCCAAAAATAAAAAAATAAAATAAAATAAATAAATAAATAAATAAAATTTCTAATTCTCAGTTATTCTCTATTCATGATGCTCGAATTGTTTTCATGTGTGAAAATATAATTACACTATATTGTTCAATATTTATCAAGGTTTTTTTTTTCAATAGCCTACATACAAATATACAACTTTGCCTTAAAATATTTCTTTCCCACATCTTGGTAGTATTTATATGCAATTCTTTATTTACCTACCTAATGTACTTCAGTACTTATTTAACCCCTGTATTATTTTTTCAGTAATATCACTTAATATTAGTGAAATAGATTCCACTTGTGCCATTGCTGAGGATACAAATAAATAATTTCTGTCTTAAAGAAATTTACCCTCTCATTGAGGACCCAACATGTGATATGTTTATGAAAGAATTTTGATAGCATGGAATAAGAAGTGCCTTATTAGTGATACAAGTAATTAACTGCACGTTAGTAGAATAAAGGGAGATATGTGTTTCTGTTGTTGATTACTGTATAACAAACCATTCCAGAATATAACGTTTTAAGATGATAAGCTTTTCCTTTGTTCATATCAGCAATTTGGAGTGAACTCATCCAATGCTTTTTTAATGGTCTTTCCTGGGTTCCTATTTGTCTACATAGCTAGAGCCTCACCTGGGGTTGAATTGTCTAAAATGGCCTTATTCCTATGTTTAGTGCTTAGAGCTTGTTGTTGACTGGGCCATGTGCTCCAACAAGCTCTAACAGGACATGAAAGTCTTCTCATGGGTTTAAGTTCGAAAGTTGCACAACCTCAATTCCACTACTTTCTATTGGACAAAGCAAGTTGCCAGTCAACCCACATTCAAAGGTCAGAGAAATGGATTTTACGTCATGGTGGAAAAAAACTACAAATAATTTATGGCCTTTCAAAATCTAACACGTATTTAAAATTGATTTTTTAAACTAGCTTAATCACTTAGTTTACTAAGTAGATAAATTGACCTTGATTTTTCACTTATTTATCAAAATCAGTCTATCCCAAATGGAACAGACTGATTAACTTCCTTGTCCTTCCTTCTGGTATCTCCTTGAACCTAGTCAGCCAAGTCAGAAAATGTGAAATTTGACTTTTCCTTTTCCACTCACAGTCATCCGGTCTTTCTAATTACCACATTCCAAGCTTCGCTTAGATATTTATTTCCTCTATTCCTATGTGACATTCTTGCACGTTTCTTTATCAAACCTAGTTTGAAATGACTTCACTTGGCCTTCTGTTTCCAGTCTGACCAAACTCCAATCTATTTTTTATGCATTCATGGATTTCTTTCTAAAGTAAAGCTTTGATTCTATAAATCATGTCCTTACAGTGCTAAATGATATTTCATTGTTTATGAAATATAATATTCTCCTTAGCATAAATAAGTATCTGGCTCAAATGTTTCTTAACTATTCATCTCTTACTCTCCTCTTAGCCCCTGTGTCTACCCCTCTCATAGTTAAACATTTAACTTACCTGCCATTTCTGAAATGTGTCACTTAGTTTCAGACCATCAGACCCTGCTCAAGAGTGGCCTTTATTTACCATAAATGGTCTCATCTTTGACATCTGATCGCCAGACTCATTCTCATCCTTCCAGATTGAGCACTAATACTTTCACAAAATGTGTCCAATTCTTTCAGGCAGAGTTATGTCTGAGTCATCTATTCCAATTATATATTAACCTACTGTAATAACACATATTACAGTCATTTTTATCTTTATCGTGTTTGTGAGGGTATGAACTCTTTTAAGGTAGAGAGATTTATTTATTTATATATTTCTGGTATTTATCAGAGAATATTTTACATAAATTAAGGACGTTCAATAAGTGCTGAAGAAAAGTGATCTGTATAGATCAGGGAGAATGGTAGAGGGTAGTAGAGGCCTTTTACATTTTTTGATACTAAATCACATTAAAACATGTATTTTACTTTGTAATCTACCACTGCTACACATACATGCTCACAGACAGGCACACACAAATAGTATTTGCCCTAATTACTAATAATAAATAAACTCTAATATTTTCATTATTTCTCCTACATTTATTTTTTAAAAATGTTCATTCCTTCCTTCTAAATTCAGTACTTCAGAGGCCAGCAGGTGGCATGGTGGTTAAAGGCACTGGACTCTCACATGGCCAACCATGGTTCGAGTCCCAGACCTGGTGGCTTGCTTTTTCACTTTCTCTCTCTTCTTCTTCTCTCTCTCTCTCACTCTGTCCTTCTCTGGTCAAATTAAAAAAATAAATAAATAAAGTTAAATAAAGTAATTCTTTAAAAAAATGAATACTTCATTGAATGATCCATGGACCCTCTGACCTGATGTTTGGAACCACTAGTGTAGGGTACCAAAAATGTACTTTACTGATACCACAATTTTGCCAAAGGCAGTCCTGTTACTTTCTTAAATAAAACGACTCTATCCAGTACAAAGGGGCTTTTAAAAAATTGTGGGAAATGGAATCAAAGCATAAGATAATTTGGGAATAATTTTTTTTTGAAATTCATGAATACTTTTTTCATAAAACACATTTCTCATTAACTTGTTAAAGATCCCTCATATAGTCAGAGTTTTCCATATTGAAATCCCTTGGATGAGAGGATTGCCCCTTATCATTGTAGCTGAAAGCTGACTATGTTTTTATGGACTAATGACTCTTACAAAAGAAAAGCATTAGTTACTGGGCATGTTATAGAAAACTGAGTTGTATTTTTATTCATAGAGCCTATTGTAGCATAAGCTCTTTTGGTGATAGACAACAGGATAATGTTGACTTGGCTTGAGTAATGAAAATACATTGCCTTTGAGATGTATATAATTTAAATAAATAATGATTCAATTCCTTTTTTCCATGTCTATCTACTCTCAGCTCTTAAGAAACTACTGTCTTCAAATATTAATATTAAATTATAGAAACAAAGTATCTTTTTCTAGGTAAGACCATAAAATATGTCTCTAAAAATGTACTTTTTTATTAATTTTATATCAATTTATTTATATTATCATGAATAATTAAGATTTTTATTAGAAAACAATATAATTTAATATAAAGTAGAATATTTCAATATCTAACTAATTAGCATTTTTGAGAGATTTTTCTATGGGGTGTGTACATTTGTAGGAGACAGAGAGAGCTAGAGAGACAGAAAATGAGAAATTACCTCCCCAGTGGGGATAGCCATTCTGCAATTCCTTTTCCTCCCTTCTTTCAGGATTTTGGGCATGCATGCACATACACCTGGTGTGTTTCGAGTCACCAGGTCTGAGATTTTTTTTTTTAATGCCTTTTCCCCGTTTTAGTTATTCGCTGATGAACTTAATCTAAATACTTCTAATAGCAAGTGCAGCTGATATACACATATCCATGAACACAAGTCTGACTTTAGGCATAAACTTCAGTGAGTAAAATGAACATACTATAAAGTAGCACCTAGACGAGACTGTATAGCTTACTGCAGTCATCAAATATGCATTCTTTTAATTTCAAGAAAAACAGTTTTCATATTTTTTTCTCCTGAAACATTTCTTTAATTAATTAATTTACATTCATCTCCTAATCATCATCACAGCATACAAAAAGTGGTTTCCCATCCAGAATATACTGCATAGTGGCTTAATCATGTATGTTATTATCAATAATTTTCCATTTTCAGTTTCACACACACAGACTCTCTCTCTCTCTTTCTCTTATCTCACACACGTATTTATTTATTTATTTATTTATATTTACCCCTTTATCTGACTCTCTGCCATTTCCCACCCTCTTCTCACACTATCTCTGATATCTACAGTTGTCTTCCATTCCTTTCCCCCCCCCCACATTTTATTGATCACACAATTTCTTAAATAATCTAACTACTTTCAATAGCAAGTTCAGCTGGTAATTTCAAGAAAAGCAGTTTTGAATTGGTAAGGAAATTTGCTCAAAACTTAAAGCCTGGAGGGAACCAGCAGTTAGCTTAATGGCTATGTCGCTGGACTCCCACGTAGTCGAC